GCCCGGGAAAGCTCATGAATAATAAATAAGCTCATGAATATGCAAATAAAGTGGCTCCGGCCCTAAATAGGGCAAGCCACGCCCCCCCAGCCAGCCGATTGGCTGGCTGGGAGGTGTGGCCAGTCGGGATTCCCCTGTTCTCGCGGGGGCTGAAACCGCCAGGAGGAAGGAAATTCCCCCCGGCAGTGCCTTGGCAGTGGCGGTGGTGCTGCGAAGCAGCGAGGCAGGAGCCCCCACCCCCGGCGCCCGAGATTATTGGGGGGGCTGAGCCCCCCCAAAAAATTTTTTGAGGGGGCTCGAGCCCCCTCAAGCCCCATGGGGTCGGCGCCTATGGGTGCCACTACTGAGAAGGCCCTCTGCCTGGTTCCCTGTAACTTGGCTTCTCGCAGTGAGGGAACCGCCAGAAGGCCCTCGGCGCTGGACCTCAGTGTCTGGGTAGAATTTGGAATACAAATGTTCAATATAAGCAAAAGTTCCTAAGCAGAATTTAGGCTATTAAGGTATGCCCTGACTCATTGGAGGTTGCAGTAAATGTTGACCCTGGCTCTGAATGCTTTACAGTAATTCTAAGTTTGTCTTCAAATGGATCTCAAATGGGTTCTTCTAAAAAACAAAGCAGATTACACAAGCCTGTGTAAACCGCCTTGTGTATAATAAAATAAAAAGGCAGTATACAAATTAAAAGTGGAACCCACCCCATGCTTACATTCTACGTTGCTCCTCTACAATCTCAGTCTTAATACCTCAATGGCAGTGCAAGTCATGAAGGAAACAAGAAACTGGCTCTAGTCTTAAGGAGCAGTCCTTGACAGAATTTATAGGGCAGCTGGTAGTTTATTTCAATTAACCCATTTTTATTACTACTAAGGGCAATCCCAGAAGACTGAGGTTTTTTATCTAACATCCAAGAGAATCATACATAAATATAAAGGGAGATAAAAATAAACAGGCAGTATAATTGCAGACCTAGGAGAAAACAATTGTCATGGCAGAAGATAGACATCACTTTTGATGGCAGTGGACTTATAACTGACATATTTAACAGTCAGACAAAAAAAAGTCTTATGGGAATTTGTATCCTAAGAGCAGCTGGACAACAATCCACTGGCGAAAATCCTCTCCTGGGATGATTTATTTGGAGCAGCTCTGACTAGTGCTTTTCACCTTACAGTATTTTGATTTATCCCAAGACCTGTCAATATATGGGGAGGGCTTGGAGCACATAAAAAGTTTGCAGAATTTGAGGTGAAGTCTACAGCTCAGCAGTAGCTTCCCTACAATACACTCAACTAATTTGTTTGACCTGGGTGTCTCAAAAAGGCCTGCAGCACAGCACTCCTCTATTGTGAATAAATCAACCACCACTTTCCTACTCCTCTCAAATATCCCGAGGTCATAATATGTCCCTGTGTGACACCTGTGCAAATCTCTTAGACATGTTACACAAGTGAACTTCGCTGAAGTGACATCAACTATCCTCTTGCATAAAGAACTAATGGTCTGGTCCTATGCATGTTTTTAAAAATCCTACACACACAGTCCTCCTATACACAGAGGTGTATTTAGGACTTAAGGGTTGCCTCAATTATCTAGGAACAGTGAGGAACCTACTAAGGACAAATTGGAGGAAAATATATATATAGTTGTTTGATCTCACATTTGGTTGAATGTACATAAATAGACCATAGGAATGATCCACCAGTCAGAGCCAAGTGCGAAATAGTGGCTCAGTGGGACAGACTGAACATAAGTGTTAAATAGTGGGTAGACATAGCAGACGACACAGCGATTTCTCCAAACAGCTCTTCTTTATTCTGAGGCCAGAACTGAACAGCAAACAGCTCAGCCAGCCTGCTTTTATAGGCAGCCGGCTGTCAACATTGTAGCAACAACAACCCAGGGTTTCCTGCCTAAAATAACTGACATGGACCTGAGTGAAAACTACATACACAATACTCCTGGTGGCCAGGGTTAGAACTTCAATACAGTGGTGCCTCGCAAGACGAAATTAATTCGTTCCGCAAGTTTTTTCTTCTTGCGAGTTTTTCGTCTTGCGATGCACGGTTTCCCATAGGAATGCATTGAAAATCAATTAATGCGTTCCTAGGGAAACCACCTTCAGACCAGGTCCGGGGACAGTCTGTCCCCCGACCTCTTCTGAAGGCTGGGGGGGGGGGGGAACAAGGGCTTTTTTCCCACTGCCAGCCTTCAGAAGGCTGTTCTGAAGGCTGGCGGTGGGAAAAAAAGCCCTTCTTCCCACCTCCCGCCCCGCAAGCTCCGGGGACCTCCTGCCGGGCGCGCGAAGCTTGCTGACACTCGCCCGAAGCAGGGGAAGCCCTCCGGAGGGCTCCCTGTGCTTCGGGCAACAGGCTGCCGCCCCAAGCCTCGCGCACCCGGCGGGACCTCCTGCCGGGTGCGCGAGGCTTGCAGACACTCGCCAGAAGCAGGGGAAGCCCTCCGGAGGGCTCCCCGTGCTTCGGGCAACAGGCTGCCGCCCCAAGCCTCGCGCACCCGGCGGGACCTCCTGCCGGGTGCACGAGGCTTGCAGACACTCGCCCAAAGCAAGGGGAGCTCTCCGAAGGGCTCCCCGTGCTTCGGGCGACAGGCTGCCGCCCCAAGCCTCGCGCACCCGGTGGGACCTCCTGCCGGGTGCGCGAGGCTTGCTGACACTCGCCCGAAGCAAGGGGAGCTCTCCGAAGGGCTCCCCGTGCTTCGGGTGACAGGCTGCCGCCCCAAGCCTTGCGCACCCGGCGGGACCTCCTGCCGGGCGCGCGAGGCTTGCAGACACTCGCCCAAAGCAAGGGGAGCTCTCCGAAGGGCTCCCCGTGCTTCGGGTGACAGGCTGCCGCCCCAAGCCTCGCGCACCCGGCGGGACCTCCTGCCGGGTGCACGAGGCTTGCAGACACTCGCCCAAAGATTTTTAAATGCTGGGGGTCGGGAGCGAAGCGTTCGCTCCCGCCCGCCAGCATTTTAAGATCGCCCGGGGCAGCGGAGAAGTCTCCGCTGTCCCGGGAAGGCAGGCGGGGGGGAGCAAAGACTTTTGCCCCCCGCCGGCCTTCAGAAGAGGTCCAGGACCTCTTCTGAAGGCCGGCTGTGGGCGAAAGTCTTTGCTCCCGACCGCCAGCAATTTAAAACAGGTCCCCGGAGATTTCCCTATGGGCTTTCGTCTTGCGAAGCAAGCCCATAGGGAAATTCGTCTTGCGAAGCGCCTCCAAAACAGAAAACCCTTTCGTCTTGCGGGTTTTCCGTCTTGCGAGGCATTCGTCTTGCGGGGTACCACTGTACATAACAATAAGGAACAGGCTGCTTCTGACAACACATTCAGCCCAGGAATTTGGTTAATGGCTGTGTACATGCCATACATTTAAAGCACATGACTTGCACAAAGAATCCAGGGAAATGTAGTTTACCTGTCACAAAGCTACAATTCCCAAGACCCTTAACAAACTACAATTCCCAGGATTATTTGGGGAAAATCTTTATGTGCTTTAAATGTATGTCTGTATTTAAATTTCTATACTGCTCTTCATCCGAGGAACACATGTATGGCATGTATGCAGCCTCAGACTTTATAATTATTTTACACCCCCCTACCTGACTCCTGATTCCCCCTCCGCAAAAAGCATTCCTAGCATAGGATCCAAACCTAGGGGCCAAGGTCCCTCTGCCCTCCCCCAATAAAATATTTGATGGGCCCTCCCCCACAAAGTTAATGGGGATTGGGTATTGTGATTCATTAGGCGGGGTGAGGTTTACCTGCCCCCCCCAATATTTTATTGAAGTTGGCATCCCTAGTTCCTAGTTTCAGCAATGTAATTAAGGGAGGAATACCTTTTAGCTGGTCTTAATGTCAGCCAGTTGGGAGGGAGTCAGAAACCCTTGCCAATTCATTCCAAATATCCCAGAGATGCACCAGGAGATCCCAATTGACTTTCTGTCCTCTCTGGGGAATAGTCAGTGTCAACACTAAGGTAGGAAAACCAAGCAGATCTTGGGTGTAAAGCGCCTCATGGGTTGGGAAAAAAACCCAAAACCCTAAGCCATGCATCTTTTGTTTCAAGTGTGGCTGTTTAGAGGGACATTTTCCAAAAAATTATGGGATTATCCCTGGATTGAGCAAACCTAATTTACTGGGAGGGAAATAGTGAGATAAGAGTGGGTTTTTTGGGGGGAGCTCATGTGGGTGACGCTACCTAAAACAGGATCTCAGACAGCTTCAAATGCACATTAAAGTCAGGTGTGGACAAGTCCGGAGTCTCCATATTCACATAGCTGTCAACTTTTCCCTTTTCTTGCGAGGAATCCTATTCGGAATAAGGGAATTTCCCTTTAAAAAAAAAAAGGGAAACGTTGACAGCTATGCATATTCAGTGTGAAATAGTACAAATCCAGCCTGACCATCATCACCTCTGACAAATATTACCATCCCCACAGGAGTTTCCACCCCGTGTCTCTAAACTGGTGTAACAATTTGCACTACTACAAGGCAGCACACATAGCAATAAAATGTGAAAGATAAAAAGTCAGGCTCTACATATGCACGGAAGACGGGAGCGCCTGGCGTGCTCTGGTCCATGGGGTCACGAAGAGTCGGACACGACTAAACAACAACACATATATGCACGTAAGACTCAATGCTCTTTTTACCAACATTTCAAACGCTCAAATATAACGTGCATTTGGGTCCCATATCCTTTTATGGAATTGACGGCGGTTTTGATTTTTTTGGGCGCGCGCGCCTGCGTGCTACGCTGGCGGCTTCACGGGATGCGGACCAGCAAGCGGGCGGCGCCACGGGGACACCCCTCGCTGGAGAGTCATCCGTAGGGAGGGCGCCGTGAGGGGTGTGGCTTTGCTCAGATTACGTGACGTGGGCCAATAGGGGGCAGAGAACCGAAGAGGCGGCGGGGTAGACGGAGGAGGGGCCTCTCTCTTCAGAGCCCCGCCCCTCCTCCGTCAGGCAGCCGTTTCTTCTGCTCCATCCCGTCCCCCTTCCGCTTATGGACTGTCCCACAGTCTCCGAAGGACCGCCTCCATTCTTTCTCCCCCCCCTCTCTTCCCGAGGGAATGGCTCGCTCCGGGCTAGGTGGGTCCCTCCTCCTGCTCCTCCCAACGCCTCAGAAAACCCGGAAGCGGAGGGAGGTGGGGCGATTGTTGTTGTCACTCAGCAACTGTGAGGCGGGAGCGGCGGGGTTGAGCGCGCGCGCGCCTGAGAGAGAGAGAGAGATGCGAGGAGCCGCGGCGGCCGCTGCTGGTTGTGGTGCCTCCCGCGCCCTGCCTCCTCTGCGCCCGCCCTCCGCCGCCGCCGCCGCCACCGCCCAGAGAGCATGAGCGGCGCAGGGGCCCAGCCGCTGCCGCCGAGCCCCTCCGGGCCCGGCGGGGATTCCCAGCCCTCGGACCCCGCGGAGCCTCCGGCTGCTGCTGCTGCCGCCTCTCCTCCTGAGCCGCCGCCGATGCTGAGCGTCGACTTGCCCGCTCTGGTGTCGCAGTTCGCGCGGAGCTTCGCGCTCATCTTCCCCGTCTACGTGCTGGGCTACCTGGGGCTGAGCTTCAGCTGGGTGCTGGTGGCCCTGCTGTGCGTCTTCTGGGTGCGGAGGCACCGGAGCGGGAAGAGCTCCCGCCTGGGCCGGGCGCTCGCCTTCCTGCAGGACGAGGAGCGCGCCGTCAGGCTGACGGTCTCCACGGGAGACCTCCCCGCGTGGGTGAGTTGCGAGGGAGAAGAAGGGCGGCGGGCGGCGGCAGCAGTAGCCACACCTTCCTTATAACCAGCCCCAGAGGGCGCCCCCTCCCGCCAGGCCACGGCAGCCGCCCCTGCAGAGTCACCCGGGGTGGGGAGACTCTTGGGCGCTTCCCTTCCCGCCTTCTGGGCCAGGTGCTCCCTCCCATGGCTGTTGCACCCAGTTCCCACCTGGCAGGAGCAGCCCATAATCTTGTGGGCGTGTGTAGTGGTCTTCTTCAGGGCTGCCTTTGCACGCTTTGGGTAGTCTACTCCTCCTTCTGTGGGTTTAGCCCCCAGGTCCAGCTAACCCGCAGTCAGCCCGTTGCCTCTGGCCTGGCACCGGCGATCCTGCCACCACTACCAGCCCGCTTCTGTCCTGCCAAGGAAGGAAACTTGCTGGGGTTGTGGTCCTAAACCATACTCCAGAAGTAAACCCAGTGGTTGTGCTTGGGCTGCTTCACACCTTGCGTCAAAAAATGGACCTCTGTGTTTCCTAGTCTGGAATCTCTCTCAAACAGCATTCAGTTGTCTGGAAACATGCAACTAGCCTGGGAGCCTTGACCAGTAATCGTGGGTCTTAATCCAGGAACGTGTGTTTACTTGCTGCCCCGCCTCACCCCCCATTCCGTGTTTTTCTGGGAGGGTTGGTACCTTTCCTAACTCCCGGAGAAACAAATAACATAACTTGGCTTTTTTGAGAAAGTGCTGGAGGGTATTTCTCTGAGCCCCACAGTTAGCTTCATTGTAAATAAATAAGTATTCTTGCACTGACAGTCACACCCTAAGCAGCATTCCTGCTTGATCCACCTCCTCTCCCTGTGCTGCATAGGATCTGACATTTCCATCTGAACCCTCAAGGCTTGCATTTATGGACTTTGGCCTGTTATGTGCACACATACCTTACAGAGTACTGTACCTGTTTACCTGAAGGTTTGTAGAAAGAAGAGTAAGCAGCGTGTATTATTCAGTGCACCGCACATGTTGTTCTTTTTCAGCTGTTAACTTGCACGCTTTCAGGCTGATCACATTCTTAAGAATTTAGACAAGTTTGCTTTCCTTAATAACTGAAGATAGCAAAGAGCCTTGTGAGAACTTAATGACTAACATGTTTATTATGGCATAAACTTTCATGGACTACAATCCACTTCATCAGATGTATAAAGTGAAATTCTGAGTTGCAGGAACATCTTTCCATAGTTGGAGATGGGGAATTGTAAACAGTGAGGTCACCCCGGCCATGTACCTTGCAAGGCAGGTTAGCACTTTGTGCATCTGGGGAAGCAGACTGTAGTTCACAAAAGCTGATGCTGCCATTAAAAGCTGATGCCATTAAAACTGACATCTATTAAGATACCACAAGGCTTTTTGTTGTTTTTGCCACTTGAGACTAACATGGCTATTCCCTCTGGAAATTTAATTAAATAGTTTCTTGTGTTCCCAAGGAGAGCCCTGCTTTTAAACGCTTCATCTCTGTTAGTATCTGCACGAATTATGGCACAGTAATTTGTGGGTGTGTCTTCCATATATTCACTAGGAACTGTGCAAGCCAGCCTTCAAGACTCTTCTACCATTTTATTAAAAAATAAAATAATCCCTATTTTTATGGATTGGGCATATATTACTAATACACTTTCAGTATGGCATTCACTTGTTTCTGCCCTAACTGCACAAGAAGCTTATACAGTGTGATTTATCCAGGTGAGCTGAGGAGTTGCCAGTCTGAGGACTGGTTGGGGAAAATATTTCTGAGGGCAACGTACAGGCCTCCGACAGCTGCTTTATATTTTAGCGGGGCTTGCTCACTTTGGTTAGGGATATGGGAACTTAAACTGAAAATCTTTGTTTGGTAAGCAGAAGGGGAATAGGATCTGTCTATGGTTTGGGGCAGGGCTCGTCCTACAATTAGGCTGAGTGAGGCAGCAAATTGCTGGGGAGGCAGGGAGTGTTTGCAAGGTATTGGGAGAACAGTGCTTTGTGCACCATTCATAGCTTGCCCTGCACCCAGTAAGCTAGCCTTTAGATGCGGTGAAAGATGCTGTTTTGTTGCTAGTGTTGGAGAAAAATTCAATTACTATCAGTCCGTCTTGTCTTTTGCCTCAGGCAGGCCCTTTTTCAGGGAGCACGTTCATGCTATTACATATTATATATACATATATACATATACATACATACAATATGTACAAGGAGAAGAGTATTTGTTAGTACAGATACTTGATTGGGATTTCTGGTGATTACAGTGGATCTCTGTGTTGAGAACTATTCTTGGGTAACTAGAAAATCCAGGCTAGGTAGTGTGTTCTGCAAGGGAGATTTATTTTCCAAGATGGCAGGGGTCCCAGATCTTGTCCTTAACAGTTGGGCATCTCTCTTCTCCCTCCTGTAAATCTTTTGTTTTCTTCAGCCATTCTCAGTGTTATTTGTAACTTCTAATAAAGCTTGATTTTGTAATACAAGTCGCGTTGCTAAGAACAACATTAACTGTCAGTATTGGACTGTCTGTTGCCATTCTGAAATTCTGCTCCATTATGAAAGTAAATTCTTAACTAGGAACTTGCAGATTCCCTAATAATTTTTGTGGTTTATCGTTCTTCAAGGTACTCCGGGGCCGTAAGTCTAAGATTTCAGTGGTCTGTGAAGCAGGTGCAAAAAGAGATTCCCCAAATGCAATAACATAAATTGTATGTAAAATGTTGTGTGTGTGTGTGTTTATATGCATTTTTCTGGGGAGAGAGTCCAGAGTTTTTATCAGATTCTCAAAGAGGTCCATGACCCCCAAAAGGTTAAGAACCACTGATGTAGAAACTTTTAAAAAAAGATTTAGCTCCAGATTGATGAAAGCTTCCCTCCTGTTAGGGTTCAGTCGTAACCCCAGTCATTGCCTGGCTGGGCTTAATGGAGCAGTCAGGCTACCTGCTATGAATGCAAACCTGGGTAGAAAGTGTGTGTAGTGGAGGCAGATTGTTGTACCAGCCTGTAGCAGTCAGGCCTGCTTGGGATCATATGGCTCTGCTCCTTCCTGCCCTGGAATACCCTGTTTTGGAGCTTTCTGCTGGCAGTGCTTCCATCTACCCATCAGGTGGAATGGGGAGTTCTGCATGAGCAGAACTGTCATCGCTGTCATCACTCTTCAGTTGGAGGCTGGCATGGCTGGACAGAGGGATTCCTCTGCCCTATCCACCACCATGCCATAGTCTGCAGCAAAGGGGGTTTGCATTATTTTGTAAATTTCGCTGTGTTGAAGGATTCTGTTTAAGCTCAGATTTGTAAAATGTTATAGGTAGGCCTAAGTTGAATTTCAGGTCTTGTTGTTAGGAATGTTTTTGCTCTACTAAATAGGGGCCCATGTTTTGGTGCTGAGTTATGGCTCAAAAGGATTCAAATATTTAGGGGGGGGGGACAGCCTGGCTAAGAAATCAAGGCTCATAGTCATGGCCCTTGTTTTGCCATGGTGCAATGTGCCAGATTTGTGGCCTGCTTTTGTTAGCAGATCTGTGTTTCTGAGATGACTGAACGAAAGCTTCCTGTTGGCTCACACAGGAATGAAACAACGGCAGTAGAATGTGGTAAATCTGGGAGTGGCAGTGGTTGTCTTGGCAATGGAGATGTTTCTCTGTTCACAGATACTTCAGGTTTTTCATCAGTATTTCTGTGTAGATGATGCTCAGAATACATGTATAGTATTTCCAAATCTGGATTGTTGCTTAGTTTTATGAAATGTGTAGAAACTTTAGAAGGGTCATAGAACGTGGCACCTTAGAGAAGTAGATTTACAGTGTAATCCTTTACATGTCTACTTGCAAGTAAGGTACATGAAGTTCAACCCAACTTATTCCCGAGTGTGTATAGATGACTGAGCCTTAAATTGAAGACCCCCCAGCTAGGTAGTTTAATTTGGATTTAGAGAGTTCATCTCTGTTGGTGGCCATGAACCAAGTGTCCCATCCCTTGGCTTAAACCAACGTGCCTGAAAGCTGCTAAAATATCACTGAGCCCCTTGGAGAAATCACTCTATAATTCTACAAACTGAGTAATATTCAGAGATATGCAGGTAGGAGGAAATTTTAAATTCAGGTTGCCAAAGAACAGCTGTTAAATAGATGCTGACCAAGGTGCAGGTTGATCTGAAGAGAACCAGAATTTAAGCCTGTCATGTATGTCTTTGTAAAGGGTTCAAAAGTTATATTAAACTAAATAATAATGGAATTTAGCCAATGCTTTTCAGATACAAAGGTAGCACGCAGTTAAAATTTTGCAGTCCTGTTGTAGTGGAAGTTGGTGTACACCTTTGTTTCAAGATGGTGTACAAGATGTGTTGACATGAGAAGGATCCATGTTAGGACATGGTCACAGTAACCGTGAATGTTGGAATAGGAATTTATTTTAGGATCTGCCAATTTTTGTTTTTTTATTTTTAATAAAATTTTTATTTGGTTTTCTGGTTTTATAAAGACAAAACATACACAAAGAAAAGAAAAAGACAAAAACATGTATAAAATCAACCAATCCCCGTTTCATAAACTTGTTCCCTGACTTCCCCCCACCTCCCCTCGTGCATCCCAGTTTCAAGATTATATCAGCAAGTTGGTATTTCTCCTCTTAACAATGTTATTCATCACCTTATTTTATAATAAAAATTAATTTTCCTAAGTTGGACTTAAGTTCTCTTCCATCGATTTTCATTTTATCTTAATTAAGAGTCATATTAACCAAACCTAGAAGTCTTAAGAGTTTTTAAGAGTCTCTTCTTCCCTCCCTCCCATCCCCGGTTTTTGTCCCTTCCCAATAAAAATCCAAATTCGAATTTCTCAGCCTGGGTTCCTCACGTCCGAGGCTTTCAAATCCCTTTCAGTCCCTCTCCGCCTGTCCCGTTGGTAGTCCTTTATGTCAGTCATCAAGTCTGGGAAAAGTTCTTTCACCATCAAAGTGTTTCCTCTTCCCACAAGGGGGTTCAAAAGTAACTGCTGAAGAATTTCCACAAAGCCT